AAAGACCTACCTGGAATGGCCTCTTGAGGAAGTGCAGCAGCAAGTATTTTGGAGTACGTTAAAAGAGGCCTTAATGTCATAGGAAAAGTAATTTAAGACCTCTATAGTAGCACTCCTGCACTGGCCTTCTACCTAGAATATGGGGCAGGCCTTTTTCCTGATAAGGGTTTGTTTATTGTTATTCCGTGAAGAGAATTTGCCTGTACGTTAAACTAGTTATAGTTTTGTTAAATGGAATATACCAGCTGAGACTATATGACTGGCAGATAAATTCTTCTGTCATCTGCATTTTCTGTTAATAACTGTGATGTAGGTAAGGTGGCTATGTCTTTAGTAATACTTTCAGGAATAATTTTTTGCTTAATTCAGGTATCTTTCTGTAGCTATGTCTACCCCCTTTGCTGAACTATTTCAAAACAAATGTTACTGGTCTTCTCTCTCTTATAAAAGAAATAAAGCCAACATGCTGAAACGTACCTCAAGGTCTGTTGGTTGAATCCTGTTTTAGTTGTCTTAGATACCCTAAGAGCATTTGCTGTCATTTGACGAGAACACAGTAAAAGATGGGGAGGGCCATCCGGCCGCGGTGGGGGAGATCTCCGTGAACCGCACTGTCCTGGGCTGTGAGAGCCAGATACGACCCGACACAGTCATCACCAACGAAGAGGCCAAGAAGGTTGTGATCATGGACATCACCATCCCCTTCAAGAACCGGCGCCAAGCCTTCGCTGACACCCAGGCTCGCAAGCTAGAGAAGTACGCCCTGCTGGCTGACACCCTGAGGGGCCGCGGCTACGACGTGATGGTCGACGTGCTCATCGTGGGAACGCTTGGAGCCTGGGACCCCAGCAACGAGAGCGTCCTGTGTGCCTGCCGCGTCTCCCGCCTCTATGCCAAGCTGATGCGCTGCCTCGTGGTGTCCAACACCATCCGTTGGTCCCGTGACACCTGCGTGGAACACATCACGGGCCATCGCCAGTACTCCGACCCCACCAAATGAGCCGCTGCTGGACCGGACCCAGAGGGGACCGCCTGAACTGCCCCCCCCCTTCACTTCACTCCGAGAGGATTCTTCAACCATGGATGACCCCGCTCCACCTGAAGAGGACCCCCGTGATGAGATTCTATATGGACTGAGGCACTTCCTTTGAACTACTTCCTCCACCATTGCGGACCAATGTAACGGGTTTGTGTGTATCTATCTCTTTTCTCTCTCAGCGTCGTGAACCCTCCCAGCCCCTGCCATACCCCCAAACACACCCACAAAATCC